TCAAAAAAACCATACATCGCCGTCGAACATATAACTTACTCCTTTTCGATTTTGAAGTCGGCTAAAAATCATATACTGTAAAAAAACTTTTAAAATCTATCCATAGGCTATTCATCATCATCTTCACCAGCCTATTAATATTCCTACTGCTGGGGCTCAGGCCCTTCGAATCGAATCGAATCAAATCAAATAGGGAGAAGAGCCATGATTCGATATGCGTGCCCAGTGCGGATTGGTGGGTGTCAACGACAGCAAATCTAGCCGGGACCAACGGCTTAAGTGCCTCCAGAAGTATGGAGGAGCTCGAGATAAGTTTAGTGTTATACGGAATTGGCTCGTTTCGTGTCATCCACAATCTGGTGTCCGGATTCGAAACTATTGGACCGATTTATGAGTCTTTCATACATAGAAGCTACTTAATACGCGTTGGACATAGGCTATAATTTAAGCAGGCAAAGTCGCAGGGAAACGGCTACTTTAATATAAATTGATTCACAATCCAAGAAGAAAAAATCGAATAAATATCTACTTTCGTAAAAATAAACATACTCCTTGAATATAGAAAATTCACCTTTCGGATTTAGAATGAATTTCAAATATGCAATATTTTGTTCTTTAACTGGAAGGGGCAATGTCTTACAATATCAACTAAATATTTGGGTGATATTTGGTGAAAAGCGTATTTAGTTTTGTTATAAAAGGAAAACTACTGATTCGATTTCGATAAAATTGAAATTGGACCATCTCGGTCCAATAAGCTTTAGAATAAAAAGGAATTTTGAAAATCTGTCAACATTTGTCGAAAATATCGGTGACCATACATCAAAATATATATATCTCCATTTTCTCATGGAAAGTTCAAAGAATATTAAATTTGCGTAAAAATTTATCACATTGATTAATATTTACGCAAATAAGAATTATTCTTAGACCTGGAACTGGATATGAGAAAATTTGAGGGTAAATGATTATAGAAACCTTAAAGAGGATTAAAGAGACATGGAAACAATAAAAACCCACTTGCTTTGTATACATATATGATATTTAATATACTGATCAGTCTAACTAAACGGTTATCCAGATTGACTTTGACATCCATTAACATTTCTAGATGTAAAACAAAAGTGCGCAACATAATTTACATACATAATTTCTACTCTATTAATTTAAATTTTGAATTTACAATTTGTAGTCAATTCGTGTATCTTAAGCTATTATGTATTATATATTAATTTGAGTGTTATGTGAATATTTTAAAGTCAAAATCTATTGTAACTATTCAAGTTGTGTGAATTAGATAATATTTTTTTAAAACCGTTATACAGATGTTATTAAATGCTATGAAATAATATTACGAAACTTTTATATTTATGGTTACATGGCACGGCGAGACAATCAACGTCAATTGACAGTAAGACAATATAATCACTTTTTTCGTATAACTATCACACGTAAATTACTCAAAAAATAATTGGCTACCGTCAGGTTTTACCTGGACTGTACAATTTTTGCTACATAAATTTTGGTACTAAAACAAAATACAAAAAGTATTTTAGTAACAAAAGTTGATTTGTAAACAGTGACTTTATAATATTATACCTTTTATTTTATCGTTAGCTACAGTTTTACTTTAAACAAATTTGTAAAAGAAATGTATAATAAATTCACAGTTTTTTTTTATTATTTATATCGAAGACATTAGTAACAACAATATAGCAGAAATCTTGTACTCGATAGAGTTTAGATATACCTAAAGCTTAACATTAACAATGAATTAATATTTTTATAATATGTAATACAGGTTGTTATATTATGTTGTACCTATGTTATGAAAGTAAACCAATTAATTAATTAGAGCAAAGTCCTTTGAAATATTTATACGACAACTACAAGTTATATAAAGAAAACTTTGTGTAACGTTAAATTTATTTCAACTCCATTAACGTAGTGAAATGGTTACAAATAGGGAATACCTATGCATGATTTTTTTATGACGTCAACGCATACTGTCAAGTTCAAATAAACGTAATTTACAACAATAAATAAAACATTCAAATAAATTTACTGAGACACGAACTATATATTAAACTGAGATAAATTGTATTCCATGTAAATAATACTAAACAAGACCGTGCTGAAAGTCTAATAATTCTTAAGCGTTGCACTGCAGCGTCAAGATTAATTATATTAATTATAATTTTTATTTACCGATATTGAAATTTCCTATTTATATAAAAAGATCTGAAAATTTAACCTGATGCATATACCCTATTGACATGCAAATAAACAATTGATTGAATAGTGAATTTTTTTCAGGTTTAACAGTCTAGACTAGTGCAGCGGTTCTTGAACTCTATTTATTGCGATGGAACACATGTTACCTAAACATTTAAGAGGAGACCGATAATAAAACAAAAACTAGTTTATTAATAGATAATGTACACATCTTTTATCTCTCTTCGCATTTGAGAAACACTGCTCTAGTGGATGAAGCTGTAGAATAGATTAAAGAAATAGATAAATCCGTTTCCTTGAAAAAGAATATTTTTTTGTTGACACTGAAATTGTTTTGGCCATATCGAGAGATCTTTAAATAAGAAATATCAAATTGGCTTCTTCTCAGGTAGTCGAAATTTTATACAAAGATATGTGGCGAGTACATGTATGTATTATACTAGTAGATACAATTCTTAGATGCATATAAATCTGTCTACGACATCAATTTGAGTAGTGATTTGTTAATATTCGTAATATTAATTCAACAAATAAGCTAGGTATAATTGTTTTTACCTTCTATAATTAATACATTTAAATATTTGATTTTCTATATTTAACACCATTTAGATATTGATTTGTTCATTATTAAACAATATAGTATAATTTAAACGCGAAAAGTGTTAGTTTTCTTTAAGAACCTAACGTCCACATTCAAACATAATATTTATATGTAATATGTAAAAGGCATTAAATCTAATTGGATAATTTTAAGTAACTTTTTCTCACTATTAAGTATCAATAGTTGGTCACCACGTGGTTCTTAACAAAAATTGTGAGCAAAGACAGGTGGTCGATAAGAGGCCTCGTGTAAGTTTAAAAATCAGTAAAGGTTGATAATATTAATAGACCGTAGAAAAGAATATTAGGCCGATATGTCCCAATATTTATCATATCACAAATACAGGATATGAAAACAATAATTGAACATTTTAATTTGGTACGATAGGCATTTTGCTGTACCCTTTTTGCCGGTTTCAATACTACTTTTTACCCTGGTTTTGATTAACGTTGACCATGTGCTTTGCTATTCAGTAAAAGTCCAGTATCAAACACAGCGGCACAATACATTAAACATACATTACCCCAACGAGGGTTGCTAGATGGTCGCGGTTGGTGTGGATTATGCCGACTTTTTGGAAGACGTCCAGAGTCCAAAAAAGGAAGAAAATGTCCCGTCAAATTATTTAAATAGATAAAATCCTTAAATCAACCAATTAATCGCTCGGTAAAAGCTGAATCAATCTAGAAATATTTCTATTTTCTTTGCTTGTTAATCAATAATATTTTTGCAAGGCGAAGGATGAATGTATCGATTTTTATTCCTAATAATTCCGATTTTATGAAATATTGAATAGATATTTTACTCTTTCCATGTGGCAAGCCCAACCCCAACTCAGGCGTGTTCTAAAATTTATACCTACAGCTGAATAGAGCGCTAGGGTTGATACCTACAAATTATAACTTAATTTAGGTACATGATTTGATTATTAATATTGTGTGGTTTTAGGATTAAGATTAAGAATAAACAAAACATTATGTTAATTTAATGAAATCGTCCGTCGGGAGGTATGACACGGAGATTTGAGCACCGAGAGCACTGAGAGAGTGAAACTGCGTTGTTATGCCGTTCAGAAAATACTTGCCGGCCGCGTAAATTATTTTTCAATGTGTGCGTGTGACGATTTTTCCGTTTATATGAAGTCAAGTTCCTTTTATGTATTGTGACAGCGATTAATAAGTTCTATTTTATTGAATTCTCTGATGCAACGACAGCAGTATTGCTGCGTTCTACGCTGTATTTCTAATAGAATATCTCTGTTGCAAATGATTTAATTTAATGTCTAATTTATTAAAACAGCCTTAAATATAACTTGAATTTATTTTAAACTATCGATGTGTCAGTGATTGAAAACCGTGAGGAAAAATCATTGGTCGTAATTTATTAATTTTCGATAAGTGTGATGTGTCAGATAATAAACTGTTGAATAATTATTATACTTTAACAGTTAGATATTTATCTAACAAATAATTTATATATTGATATAATGGAATTGATTAGTAACAGGTTTTCTATAAATATTTATATAGTGACAAAGAAAGGTCGACTAAGTAAATACATATATTTATCGAAAAATAATTTAAATGAATAATGAATTACGGCTTCTTTAATTTCATGTACCGAAAGTATTTGTAAAAGCAGCAGTATTTACAAATCTTTGTTAATTTTTTAAACATGTTATGCCTCGTTCGGTGTTCATCTAGAATTTAAATTTCCATAACATTTTAACAAACTAAGTAAAAAATAAACATAACAAAGAAAAATAACTGATAAAAGAAAATAGTATCGCCCCCTTTGTCTCAATATAAAACAAAATAAAACTGTCTAATACATCGTTATTTTTCATATTGTTAATATGTTTGTTTTGTTTATGTTTATAGGATGCCAAGTTGATATCGAAATGCGTCATTTGATGGTTTTTGAAACATATGTATTTTATAAACATGGTAAATATATTTTTGTGCGTCAGAAAAAACATGGGAAAATTTGTAATTATACCAATTATTTTGGAGGGAGCAATTTTTGTTTCATTCCATTTATTCTATGTTCCAAAACTTTGCTTCGGTCATTAAAATAAAGGAAACAGAAATGAGATAAATTTGAAGAAGACAATAAGGATCAGTCGCCAAGGCTGTAGGGCAGCTGGCGGCGGCTGGCCGGGCAGTTAATCCTTGGGTTGAGGCTTCACCAGCTCGCATTTGCCAGGGGTAGCAGGTGTTGGTTCTTCCGAGAACAGCGGATTTTTCACTTCCATATCACCAGTCTACAAAAAAATTTACTCTACATATACAGTCAACAGCACGTCAGGCTATACAACTGTCATATTTCTTCACTAGATTTTAAACCTAAATAATGTTTATAGAGTGTAAATTTACTTGTGGAAATTTGACATATCGTGGTAGTCTGACGTGCAGCCGTGTGTACGTACATGGAAAAAAGGGATATACGGCGAAACTAACTGCTTAAAGTATTTTTGAAGAACGGAGGAGTTCAAATAATTATTAGTAACCTATCCGATCACAACCTTTGCGGATGTAGGTATTAAACACTCAATACACTAATCTCTGCGCCATTGAATAAAAACACTATTGAAGTTTAAGGGGCTGAGGAGTCTATTTTCAGAAAAAACATAATTACAAGTATCTACGCTAGTGTGGTTTAGCTCATTGCCCGACCCTCTGAATAATAACAACTGCCCATCAGTTCAGAGCCAGTAGAAAAAATTACTACTAACAATGCTGTTTTATAACAATTTAGTGCTTTGAGTTAGCTGTCTGGAATGCTTACACAAAAGAATATATTGCAATTATTTTTATAACAATCTCAATGTTGCGGACCTTATGCAATTTGTGAGCTATTCTTGTGTTTGTTATTTACACCATTATTACATGTTTGGATCAACTCAATTCCATTTCAGTATTAGTGCATAAAAGTAAAGATAAAACTATGTACATAAATACATAAAACAGTGACGGACGTCAGCCGATGGGGCAAATACAAATAAATAATGAAATATATAAACGGCATTTAAAATTAACCGTTCTTAAACGGAATGTTGTAAACTGTCTTAATAACACGCCTCGATTAATAAATAATTATTTAGCAATTTTAACTTTAAAAAGAAAAACAATGAGACAAACAGCCAGTTGCGCGCCCATTAAAATTGAGATTAGTTTAAAGTGACGTTACCAATATAAACTTGACATTCATTAGTGCCTACAGGCATTAGTAACCTTAATGCCCGTTTGTGCAACTGATCGTAATGTAAATGTAACGATATCGTTAGGAGCTCCTAAGTGCTTGTTATAACAGAGTCAGGATAAGCAAATTGGCATCGCTTCCAGTCGCTGCACCATATTATATTTCAGGTAGTAAGTTAGGCTAAATATAGACTGTGACATATAGCACTTACGGTAGCAAATCCAGGGCACTCGTATACGGTGTAGTCGCCTTCTTCGTTTTCTTCTTCGGATTCTGGTTCAGAAATGGATCCATTACGGTGCTCCATTCCATTCCTTGGTAATTATAAATCAAATAAAGTCTAATATTAACTTTTGCCTGCGACTTTTTGTGGGTCAAATTAGTACCTACATGCCGACTTCATTCGAGATCAATAAAACCGTTATCGCCATCGTTTTTGTAAAAAATAAAACGTTTACACGTGAAATGAATAAGTTACCTATGCCCGGAAGTTACTTACCTATTTATCAATTGTACAAACGTCTATTAAAATTGTCATTAGTTTAAAGCCATACAAATAGAGATTCATTAGAGCTTAAAGGCGTAGTTAAACCTTAATAGACATTTGTGCAACTGACCGTTAGTCGGACAATTAAATTATTATCATTATGAAACATTCAAGCCGTGTGTAATAGGGGTGAGGCCTTACATTTGCAAACAAATAACATAACCCCAAATTTAGGTCTTTATACAATCTAGTGTCATAGTGCCATAGTTGTAGTTGAGGTATATTTGTTTTAATCTGTTTTAAGAAAGTATTTGTTGTTATAGCGGAAACAGAAATACTTCATCTGTGGAAATTTCAATTGTGACTAGTAAGTCAGCAGTAGCTAGTTTGTTTTATTATTTTTATTTCACATGTTATTTGTGTTGTTTGTTATTTATTTTTTAAAAATCACACTGTATGTAGTTTGATATACACGTAAAGATAGATTATAATTCATATTAATAAAAAGGCACGTCAATAATAGTCGCTTATCTATTCAGTAAGAATTAATAAGTGAATCTGCAAAGTCAGTTTATCCAAACCCTGTCTTTCCACGAATGAAATCTCATAAAAAGAGGCCACAATAATAATTATAACAGAAATATTTAAATCAATGGTTCGTCTGAAAAGGTTTTGATGCTTTTATGCAGTTGAGTGTAAGCAACAGAAAGATACGACAAGACTCACAGCTCGTTAACTTACTGTGGAGGTGCAGCAGTGGAAACTTTTATAGTCAATGACACGGAAATTCTATAGTTGTTTCTGTGTTAACTAAAACTGGGCCTTGGTATCTTTCAAATAAAGTTTATATTTGCCTAGAAATATTTGAATTAATGGGTTATTTTGCTGCTTTAGTTTAGTCTTTTAAAACGAGATATAATATTTCAAACGCTTAAATAATAGTAAATGTGCAACTAAAATTCTTAAGTGCATGATATAAAGTAAATATTTTGTTTTGTTTGTAATTTATGTATTTGTTTCAAATAAAATAATATTAGTTTTGAGTCAAATTAAATAATATTAGGTGCCAGTAATTCATTTTAGTAGCTATGGTATTAGGCGCCAAAAGCATTAAAGTTGAAATTTGAAATGTACAATTTTAGTTATGATATTGCTATTGAAGTAACGAAGCAGTGTTTCGTTTCATTTACCTACATAATCAGAGATCTATCATAAATATCAATTTATGATAGATCTATCCAATTCTAATTTGACAATTTTATTATTGTGGTTAGATTATTTTAATCACCAGCTTTTAATGTATTCTAACTATTTTGTTTTAATTTTCTGCACGTCAAGCAAATAGTGAAGATATATAGGTAATTTATGACATTTGTAATCAGAAACGGTAAAAAATGGTTCTTTTGAAAATCTGTGGGTATAGTACTTTAAGCATTTCTTTCGACCTTCATACATATCCTTAGATACGTAATGATTTGTGACGTTATATTTAATATGTAGTTTACTTGTTAATCTTGGGGATGCAAATATAATAAGGATTACTTAGGCTTCAATGAGTCTTGATCCGGCACCGATGACAGCGATGAACAGTACGATTTACTCGATACAGTATAAATTATAAGGCTACACTCACCTTTCCATAGCGATGATCTGTTGTTTTTGGTGTTGGTAATGGTACATGTGGGCGGAATGAGCCAGTTTCCTATCTCCTGACATGTCTATCGTAGGACCAGTTACACCGTATGCCGGATAATCAACGTCTGCTGCTGCTTTCGCTCTCTTTGTCATCCTGATAACGCAAGGTAGCCAATCAATTACTTCAAAACACTATAATATATTAACAAAGAAGACATATATTATTCTAACTTGACTCTATTCTTTTTCTTTTTTTTAATAATTGTATGCAGTTACAAGGTTTTCTACTTATATATCGTAATTATATATAATATACATGTAATCACATCATTTGTTTTTTTTTATCTCACTCTCATAACCTTCACATCAATTAATAAGGGGTTTAGTTACTTACGTGTACCATCCAAACGCGAATCCTATTATAGCCAACACTAATGCAGTGCCAACAGCTGCAATAACAGCGATACCGTAAATTGAATCGGCCGGGTCGATGGTGGCCGCTTCCAGCAAGTGAATCGAGCGTGGTTTCTCCGTCGTCCCAGAGTCTTCGTGAACGCTAACCAATCAAAATAGTCAATATGAATGTGGACTTAACGTTTAATTTTGCTAAGCGCACTCCAAACAAACGGGGACTTATTCACGACCGAAACCAGTTGAACGTCACATGCCAATATAGGAGATTAATATTGTTTAGTGTAAATTGAAATTTTGGAGCACCCAAATCTTGCCGGGTTGCATTTATTCGTGCATACGACCCCCTACTCATCAAACGGTGCATGATTACTGAGAAGGCTAAAAGCATAGGACAATTAACAAACCAAATTTTGCTAGAAATTAATGTATTTAACTCACAAGCAATAGCGCGCATGAGACCAAAATTTGTTAGCTGAAAAAGCTAAATGATAAAATAAATAAAAACCACATTCGCAGATATTCAAGAGTAAACATAAACAAACGAATTCGTCGGCAGTCAGTTGATTTTAAAGGCAAATACTCGTAAAAAATCGTCGTATAGTTCTTTACTGAATGTTAAATTTGGCTTTATATACTTTCATTTTTTTATTTGAAATTAAAGTATTACTAAATGTTAGTTTTATTAAAATAAAATCTGATCATGATTTAATCCATGGGAGAAAAGTAAATACAAATTAATAAATTTATATGTTAAAAAATATAAAGGTAATTTTTAAAACTGAATATAAATCATAATTGATATAAAATATGAAAGTTGTATATTGAACACTGATATAAAGGCGAATTATTAGTAACGTGTGCAGTGCAAATTATAATTTCACAAAAATTACAAGCTAGTAAAGAACGCCAGAAGCAAGGAAATGGATTTTAAAACATATGTGTGTTCAAATGACAAAATGAATGTTAAATTAGATATCTATAGATGAGGTTTCATTTTAAGTTTTGATGATGTATAATATTTAGGTTTGTTTTAAGGTGTGTACTTCTTTTAATAAGAATGATTGCTGATTTCAGAATCAGCTATCATTTTGAATGAACTAGTAAATGGTTGAAGCTATACGCGATAAAGCTATTTATTAAAGTTTCATTTATTGGTTTGGATAAAAAATACATAAATTATAAAGTTCTTGATGAATATTTTGGTCAAAATAAGCAATTATTTTGAGGATCTACGGGAAATGGTCAATATTTGCGTTGGCAAAATTACCGGTGTGCAATAGTCGACAGGTCTCTTTTGAACTAAAAGCAAAGTTAGGAGTGCTCTAAAGATTTTACGACGGTTTCTAGTTATAGTACCAGTGGGACGTCGAGAAAGTTGGGGCGTAGTTTTGATTAGATAAAGTAGACGTAAATAGTATAATCATACATTACTTTTAAGAAACTCTGGAGTGAATTCAGGTATCTGTGTTCTTATCATCTTACTTGAGTTAAAATATTATTAAAAAGTTTAAATAAGGGACAAAGGTAATATCGCCTTTCTGAGATACAGATACCTGTATTTCGTTCATGTATGATTTAATAAACAAGTGCCAAATAAAGCATGCTTTAAAAAATATTATGGAAATAGGAGTTTACTTAGAAGTGTTCAAGGTAATTTATCTTAATCTTATTGCAAGATTCAAATTAGGTATGTGTTGGTATCGTGGTCGCTTGTGATCATATCTATGATTTAACGTTTAGGGTGCATCTAGATAAATTGTAAAATTTTTGATCATTGTGTTGACATTGTTTCATTCGTCTTTAGGCAAAAATTTTGCCTCTTCTGACTTAAAAACCCATGCGCATCTAACAAAGGATATTGCTGGGAGCAGTGGCGGGAGTTTTCTAAGTGTTTTTAATGATTTTAATTTCACCTCTTCTCATCATCTGGTTGACTAACTTTCAACCACTGCAGATTGGTTGGGAGTAAGGAGACGGGTAATCGATACTCCTTAGTCAACCTGTAATAGATTCTACAATGTCTACTGTTGCAACGAATGCAGCTGAAGCACATCTCTCATCAGCATTTGTTACCCTGATTCCTCTTCACCTATTTAAGGAAAGAATAACTATAATTGTATTACGTTTAATTTTTTGTAGGTTTAGGAATCACGGAACAAACAGCCAGCAGATTAAAAAAAATGTATATGACACGTTTTACCTGTTTAATTCGATTGATTGTTGGATCTGTATATTGCAAAAATACAATGTGTATGTATAGAATAGGTATATAAAAGAGCTTATTAATAACAATTGCCATATAACGTTTGGATGAAAGCAAATACTAACGATATAACATAATGGGTCGTAACATATCATTCAGAATTCAAATATATAAAAAAAGCATTTTCTGTACTGTTATTAAGTATTATTTATACAGAACTTGAACGAAACATTTGAATTCTGAGTGAAGTTTGAGAAATGAAAGTCAAATAGTAAGAGCTGTGTTGTGGTTCATTTGAATAGCAAGCGTGTTCCAGCTATACGCAGTACCTGTGTTAACTGACAAAAACCATTTTAAATATAACCTTAAATTTATATAGCGACACTAGAATAAATCAATTGGAGTGAAAACCACATTGAAATGGCTTACTTACATACCATTTTTTTTAAACATATTGTCATGTAGGTAAACTATATGTGAAGATATACGATGAAATCTTTGGAAAATAGAATACGACCAAATAAATTAAAGAAATCTGAGACAGATTGGTAAATAAAGAATAAGGACACTCATATCAAATATGATAATAAATGTGTCGCGTTCTGTATCCGTCATGACATGAAATTAGCGTCCTCGTATTTTAAAAAAGTTTTAAATCGCGATCTTCGTCTGTTTTTGTAGATAATTCTGTAGTTATAATATCTATTGCAGATACCTGCCGCTCATATTAATTATTTATTGACAATCCTGACTAATGTCAATTTATTTACGCATATAGTTTAACATTGAATGATAGTAATGCATGATGAATTAGAATTTAATTTTATCTTAATATAGAATCACCAGTGAGTAAATGATACAGTTTTAACTTTGTACAAAATGCTTAACATCATTTTAAATAAATAAACATTTTCAACTACATGAATTCGGTAGACGTGAAAATTAAAGGTAACTTAGCTTTCATTTCAATTTAACGTTGCATTTTCCGCAATCTCAAACTGTTTACGAGAATTTAAGAGCAAACAGCAATTGCTGGCAAATGTAGTTTTCAAACTAGACAGAAGAGTTTCATTACTTAACTTTTAATATCAACCAAAGCTCGGTGAAAGTTACACTTTGGAAATGAACGTTGTAAATTAAATACCTACATTTCGTAAATTAAATACGAACGCACTTCTTTTTGCACTTGCATACCTATATTTATACCACTGTACAAAAACATATTCGTTGAAATATAAGAAATAAATCAAAATTATCGAAGTCATAGTTAAGAGTATAAACCAAGAGAATTCTATATTGTACTCACAGGCCCGATCTCAACTGATCTAAATGGTCGGCGATCAAATGTTTTGTTTTGCTAAGGTTTGGATTCTGACGTGTTTGACGCGGAGGTTGGAATTCCATTGGTAGCTGCCCCCCACCTCCTTCGTGATGTTCATCAACTGTCTTTGTTACTGCTACAACACAAAGCAAGCCCAGAGTTTTCCACGAAATCAATTTAATATCAAACAACGAACAATTCTGTACTAAATCTATCAGATATGATATTAGTTAATTATAATACCTGTAAGCTATCAGGTCGAGAGTTATGAGATTGACAAGTGGATTCAGTCCATATCTAACGAAAGGTGCGTCGCTTTATTGGCGGTCGCGGAACGTCTGCATTTACATTTACCCATTTACGCACCCGGCAGAAGACCAGTCTCATACTAACCATGATTTACATTTGATTTCTTTCATCGGATTTGTACCCTAGAGTCGGTACCAATAAGTAATTCAAAAAAGTTCATATTTTGTTAATAAACAGCTTTTTATACTACATTCACTAGGTACTAATTATTTCGTCCCTACTTTCTTATTATTAATTTTAAGGTACTTACGGTACTCCACGTGATTTGTCAAGGAATCGAAGTATCCTTTGTCTAAAGGGGTGAGAGCAAAATTCCTCCGATTATCGTTGTCTTGTTGAACGACGACGTGATGTACTTCTTTCTGTGGTTCATTATCACTTGTTAAGATGTCAGGTGCGTCAAAGGCACTTGGTGCTTGGACCGGGATGTAGGGTTTTCTGGCAGCCCGTGGGTAAGTATCACTGCGGATATTGGTCGGACTATCAAACATACGCACAAGATAAGGTTCACGACTGAATATCCGAGCCAGATCTTTTTCATACGACCCCACTTCCTCTGCTTCTTCTTCCATACGATTGATCCGATCTATTTCCTGTGTGCAACAATTTAAATTACTATTACATTTTAACTTTTTTGTAGTTCTTTTAGTTGAAATGAGTTAAAATAAATTGTAATTACAAAAAATGGACATTAAATAAAATTTAGCTTTGCATAATATACAACTTAACATAATTATTTTCGTAAAGCTGCATAAATTTCGTTCTTTCATGTTTATTTCAAACGCTCTTTGATTTTCCTCAAGAGTGCACTACTAAAGAAGCATCTGGTGTGCTTTACAGGGACTGCCGTTCTATGTCGCTGACACGAACAATAAAAACCTTAAATGAGGTTGTATGCATCCACAACTTCACCTGTTTAAAGTCACGACGGCACGGTATTTTTTTAAATATGTATTACGTCAAAAGAGAATTTAATCACTAGGTACGTTTTTGGTTTTGTTAAAAGACAGTGCTTCAATTATTTGTCTAATTTTTATTACAATTAAATATCCAGTCGAAAATTAACCGAATTATGGTTGTGTCAGCTGGACAAGTTTGAGACCTACAGATCCAGCGTGTAACTCGAGTGCCAGTGAATTGGTCAGTTTTAATCCAATATTTCAATTTCAAACGATCAATTTGGAACTACTGAGATTAGATCAATCCGAAGCCAATCAAATCGATGTCATCACCCGCAGGGTGGTTATCAAAGTTCAGTAAGTTTCCCAATTTCAGAGTTCTGTTTTGTGCCCTATCCAGATATTTACTGTTGTCTTTCAATATATTTTTTTTCCGTTCTATAGTTTAGCCTGTTACTACTCTGTGTTTATATTATTTGTATGGAAGTAAAGCTATCATCATCTTTCAAGAATAGCATAATTGAAGATTTATTTTTTATTTTTGTAATAAGAGATAATGTTGTTGAAATTAAATAGTTAGGTAGTTAGCGTAACTATATGTATAGTCCGACAAGTAGTTTCATTTGTTATTTCATGAATTCCTCGTTAAAGAAATTATGTGTTCAAAAAACGCGTTCCGTATGGCAATTGTTAAACCTGGAGTCTGATTAAGCATCCTAACTCTTATAACTGTAACGGAGTCCGGGCTAGCTTGGTGAATGGAAAATGAAAAGGCTAATTGCCTAATCAAGTATATTTTAAGTAAAGAAGAAAAATTGTAATAACAAGAAACGGTTCATAATGGGATTTACAAAAATTAGGATAAATTTTGTTGAAATCACTTAATTATATAACCCGTATCTGGGTTTTTATTAGTAGGTAAGATGTTTCATATAGATTTATATCGCTGGATAGATTTTACAAATCCCTTTAAAAATATTGATATGAATATTAAATTAACATTGATTTGTGTTCTGGCCGGATCTTTTTTTACGAACTGAATAAGCATGTCGTGTTTCTAAAAAAAAAAATAATTACGAAAAACTAATAATAAAAAGAAAATGATCATAAAGATCAGAGACAAAAAGTTTGTATTTTTTTTTTATGGGATAGGCGGCAGACGAGCAGACGGATCACCTGATGCTAAGTGATTACCGTCGCCCATGGACACCTGCAACACCAGAGGGGCTACAAGCGCGCTGCCGGCCTTGGAGGGAAGGGTTGAGGGGTAGAGGGAAGGGAGTAGGGAGGGGTTGGGCCTCTGGTACCCTCACTCACACGACGAAACACAACGTAAGCGTTGCTTCACGTCGGATTTCTGTGAGGCCGTGGTATCACTCCGGTCGAGCCGGCCCATTCATGCTGAAGCGTGGCTCTCCCACGGTTAAATGTGGGAACAGATGTGGGAACAAAGGACAAAATAAATGGTGTGGTACGATGTACCGTTACTCGACTCCGAATCAAACTCGAAAGAATCGTAGCCCTAAATTGTTCTTCTTCAGTAGCTGCTATTAATCCACCTTTCTTCGATTTCTCTGGGGTCTGCTTCAATTGTTTCAACTCAATTCTACTCTATATGGTAGCTACGTCGTATTCACATAGACTACAATATGTGAATTCACAAAGATTTAGAAATCAAAAGAAATCTTACTTCCATGGTCCCCAAGGAAATCAATCAGAAGTTCAAGGAAAATATTGTTAAAAATGCAATAAACTTCCAATCAGTTATTTATTGATACTACAAATAAAAATCAATGTACTTGTAGGTATAACAAACGTTTATATGTGACGTTTGGTGATGCTTAAAGCTTAAAGTTTCTAACTTTGATGGTTTATCTGTAGGGATAATCTTAGGGACGCTCTTTATAAATATTGACCCGATCACGAAAATTCTTTCATCTATGGGAAGCTACATCATACGAACGTGACACAGGCTATAATTTACGCGGGTAAAGTTGCGGGAAAACAGTTTTCTACTACAATATTATAAGAGGTAAAGTTTCTAACTTTGTTTGTTTGTAAGCAGGGGGCAATCGAAGTAGTGGGAAAACAGATAGTTAGTGATATTTGTTGTGTATGTTATTGTCGCTAAGTTGTAATCCCAATGGCGCAGGTGCGCTATGCCAAGGTAAGGCAACAAGGAGAATAGACATAGAAATACAAAAGTGTGTTTTTTCCTTGAATAGTATCGATGTTTGATGGCATTCATATGTTATTGTTGAATACCTAAATAAATGTACTCGCATAATTCAAATAATAATAATATTATTTAAATAATTCTTCTGAGGTGATCCATGGCATAATGATTAACGCGGTTGGTCTTCCATTGCGAAAATTGATCATCAGATGGGTGCACATTTTATCTTAAGTCCCTATAATCAATCCATATTATTAAATTATTATTTATATTTTTATATATAATAGCTAGCGTAGAGTAGCTCGGTGGCGTAGTAGATAAGCGCCGCGGCCCGCGATCGTAGTCGTTAAGCAACTTTCGCAAGGGTCGGTCACGGGATGGGTGACCAAAAAAATATTATCTCGAGCTACTCCGTGCTTCGGAAGGCACGTTAAGCCGTTGGTCCCGGCTGCATTTGTCGTTAATACCCTCCAATCCGCATTGGGCTAGCGTGGAGGGTCATGGCCCATCCTCTTCAACCATCCATAAGGAAGGCCTGAGCCCCTGCAGTGGGGACGTTAAAGGGCTGGTGATGATGATGATGATATATTTTTATAAAAAAAATATATGAAATAGGGAATGATTTTCCTTGTATTTAATATTTCCTTAAGAAATTTATTATACAACAGACCTATATTCGCAAACATAAATCTTGACGACGTCATACATTAAATTATAACATCATAGTATGTGGTTTTTATGACCAGAGAATAATGGAATAATACAGACATTGCTTGTTTGCTATATGCTCGCTAACGTTATAATATTAAACATTATCACAAAATTATATTATGTCTATACGACGATTTATATATATTGTGTAAAGAAATAAACATTAGATTACATCACATACATTGCTCAATTCTAAGAGTAGTTTGAGTAGCTAAAGCCTTCATTATGGAATATCAGAAATAAGGAAGATGTGGTACCACATCGAGACAATAATTGAAAGTTCATTTCAGACATTCGGCCGAGAACTGGTCGCGTAATCTTAAAGTTAACGACACCTTGTAACCGACGAGCCTCTCGGCTACAGAGACCATCACCGGTGTTCCAAAACAGTGAAATTCGACGAAGGAACTTCGATTAAGCTTTTGTTTTTGCCTTAACAAAAGCCGAAAAGGAAAATAAAATTGTTCGCTTCATGACTATTCTGTATCTCTAAAGAGGTTTATAGTTTTCGAAAACTTACATACGTTACCATACATTTCACAATAGCGCCTCTAGCGGTAACCATAATGAATTAAAAACGGCAGTAAATGTCAAATTACTTTAAACTATCCAATTACTTATTAAGCCTCTGCTACACTCTTGTCGTGCCTACGGGATTCAATAGTCTTTAGGCTTGCCCACAAGCAAGATGGAATGTGTAGATGGACCTTAAGACAAATAGGAAAACCAGTGTTACAATGCTACGGCAATAATTGTTCATTTAATTTGTAGTACAAAGAAATGTGTATGTTAGACATAAAATGACAAAGCCATCTTTGAAATAAATACGTATAATTTTTTTTAAAAGAAGAGATATTTCTAGGATTTATTCAAAGAAATAGTTTGTTATTGAAATATGAACAATTTTGTAATAAACTTATTAATAAAAGAAAAATTTTAAAACAGTAATGTCGTTGCCGCTCATATTATCCTAATGGGAAAGTGTAGGTATCTATTTATCGTTACTGTTCTTGAAGACCCCAGGAGTACTTATGAGCTAAATATTAAATAATTTATTAAATAATTATTTTTAGACGAAGTCGATTTTTTAATGGTATTTGATGATACTACTTTTTATCTAACTTACATGGGATACTGGAAGTTAGGCCTGCCTTTATTGGTTAGTTTTTGTACGTTTGGTACGTTTTGTACGTTTTGACTATGACTGACATGCGTAATTTTTGTCATTCTTAAATCTATTGGTTTCCTAAGTGGTTGGTAGTATAAATTAATTTTGATACCAGATCGTTGACAAACTACACTTAAACATAAGTTCCTCAATAGAACGAACTTCACTTCAATATGCTTATCTCTTTTAATTGCTTGAAAAGGATAAAGATATATGATAGAATCAACTTGACGTTATCAAAGAAGTTTTCCCATAGAGCAACTATATGTTTATACTTCACTTATCCTTACTTGCTTTCCTTCGATTAACAATATAACTTGCTTTCACTTAAAGCTTCCAAAGCAAAAACATAATTGTTTGTCATGACATGACTATTATTTCCAAAGG